CTGATGATGACAAAACCTTGTTGAACCGTTGTACATTTGCTGTTATGTTAAACTTATATCAAAGTTTTTCTTCATTACCCATTCAAGCCATGTCCAAGCATTATTACCCTCTTTGTATATTCAAAATACATCTCCAAACCATGACAAGGTATAAAAAAAGATGATGCATGTGTGTGTGCCATGCGACACTCTTAAAATAATTTTAGCTGCATTATCAATGACGCTCATGTGCATCATGGTACAGATTTTAGCTGAATAAGCATATGTGCCCATAAATGTTCTATCTGATATTATTTTGCATTATTAAAATGCTCCTAATAAAAAACAAAAAAAACAAATGGCACCTGGCATGAGTATCAATCTCAGAGGTGGCACTAAATATGTTAAAGTGTGAATGCAACTTTGTAAAAGGTTGTGACATGTTGACTTACCCATAGCCAAAGGGTTGAGCAATATGCAGTGAAAAAAGATTGCTCCAACTTCCTTCTGCTTAGAGTTCTTTAAATATATGCAACATTTTTGAAATGTAACAAAAATATCAAGGTATTTACACTGATGTGAGAAAATTTTTACAGGACTTTTCATTTACGAAAAAGAAATTTAAGTGAGTTTTTATAGGATATGTGGCATGTTACAGATTTTCTCTCTTAATTCAAGTTTGTACAGATAAATTTATTTTATAAATGAATCAATAATGTTTCATCAATTTATTAATTTACTTGAACATTTACTGAACCCAATTTCTAGCTCGTTTGCCAATATAGAAGATACCTGTATGAAACATAAGAACAACTTGAAGTTGTCTGAATTTTTTGCAACATATGCATGACTAAATTCATTTTATTTACATCCCAATCCAATTCTGCATTGTTAATTAATTATATATATATATATATATATATATATTGGTTTCTTTTTATCATAAATCACTCTGGTAAGCACAAGTATTTTGTTTTTTATCTGTAGTTTTTTTTTACTAAGTCACTTACTGTTTGTTGCTAAACCATATTTTCTTAAGTTTAAAGGAATTTCACATATAACAACTATACAGCTTTGATTTGTTTATACATTTAAGATGCATTGGTTTATTTTATTTGACACAAAAATTTTGCCCTGGCAACAATTTTGTTATAGACTGAACATAATTACTGTTTTTATGAATAAAGAAATTCCCTTTCTATCAGTAAGCATCTCATAACATACATGTAGATTATTTGCAGTCCATATCCTTCTTTAAAGTAAAAGGCAGCAAAAAATATAAGAAGTAACATACAGAATTCAATTTTGTTACCAAACAACCAACAAAATGTCCAAATTATTTGTTTTATATTAAGCTCTAAATGCAAATTCTTGAAAATGTAGTGCTCTAATATTTTGTTTAACAAAACTAAAATGAACAATTTAAGTAATTTTCAAGAATGTGTACATACCTTCAAAAGCAAGTGCTGCATGTGTTATTGCTTGGTAACCTTCATTCTTCACCCACCCACACGTGTTGATGATAACACCACTAACACTTGCTGTAATTAAATTAAGAAACTGTTAGCTATCCTTTTATAATAATTTGTTACATTAAAAGTATTTGAATACAATTATGTAAAACTTGTTTTATAAGGATAAACACACTTATACCAAACAAATGCAAGCCTACATACTTAATAGTTAGTTTGATGACTTTTCTTCTAATAAAAAGTGTTTCTACATTCTGAACACATTTATTTCTCTATTGAAAAAAGGGTCAGAAATAATGAAAGAGAAAGAAACCTTTTTTATTACTCTCTGCTCGTAGACTGATAACTTCAGCTATTCTGGAAACTAACATATTGTATAGTGTAATGTTGTTCCCTGGACTTTTATGGCCATAATGATAAACCAAAGGAGCTTGTTGAGAGAATCCTTCCTCAACATCTGCTGGTCTTTCCACTAAGAGAGCACCTAGATAGCAACAAAAGAAAACAAAGGGTCAAAAATTATTTGAAAATAATCTATAGCCTTCACCACAAACATTTAATATTATTGATTATATAGCATTTATCTTCAATACCTACCTAGGAGTATTGAGAGTTAGATTTGAAGTACTTTATTAGCCTGCACATTGCAATCCACACAGAAACTTGAAGAAGACACATGTTCAAATAACTATATAATCCTGTTCATCACTATATACAATGTAATACCCATAACAAATGTATCCCTACTACTACTCTCTCTCTCATTATCAACTATCTTAACTCTTTTAACAATGAGTGGTCTGGCTACATATTTAGCTGGAGAAAATGAGAAATCCTGGAAATATATACTTAAATAATCTTGTTAATAATGTGTATGCAGCAAAATGACAAAGACCTAGTAACATCATCCTTCATTTATACCTCACAGAAAATAAAATCATATAATATTTTATGAATTCCATTTATGGCTTCTAATTTTTGGTTTAACTGATAAACACAAGAAAAAAAACCAAAAAAAAACCAGACACAAAACAAAAGAAAATATTTTTTTCCCATAAACACTGGAAATGCTTATTTAGTTTACATTAACATCTCCACTTTTATGACCTACTATGCTCGTGAGATTTAACACTTTCCATGTGGGTGCATGTACAAATATTACTTTTCATTATCTAAGCTAATACTTTTCTAATCTTTATGCTTTAGTTACTTGTATAATAAAAAAAAGTAAAAAATATACTTTAAAAACATGAACCTTATGACTTGCGTTTGACATCTTCACTTTTTGTTGTCTGTTGCTGATTAAATGTACGTCTGTTTTGTGTATGATAATACTAGTAGAGTAAATAATTTTTATTTATTTACACATATCTACTATGAATACAGATTCAGTAAATGCAGTCCTTTAGTATTATAATTTAACTGTAGCTACTTTTATGACTACATTGCCTTGGAATATTACTGTGAAAGAAAAGGAACATGTTTTGTCCATTAGTAATAAGTTTGTTTTTATAATTTCAATATAAAATGTTAGCTGATCTTAAAAAGCTTTGGCATAAATATAACTATTTTTTGTACCTGTTATTACTCCCATAAGAGAAATCAGAATGTAGAGAATATACATTATAATAGTATACTCATTACAGTATTAAAAGTGAAAACTCCAAAAAACATCAATGTTAAGGTATCTACATAAAACTAACAATGAAAACTCCAGATTTAAGATACCTAAAAAAATATGAAACAGTTAAAAATAAACAATGATTTAAAAAAGTAATACACACAGAAAAACAGAAGGACTAATTACATTATATCACTAAAACATAAGAAAAATTGAATTATATTTTTGAACTAAACTTTTTCTTTTCACCCAACTGTAAAATCAAACATAATCACTACTGTTCAGTACATACACAAAATACATCAATAATAGATGGTATTAAATGGAATTTATTATAGACACTGTGACCCTCGAAAAGTGGAATCCTATAAAATTTTGACCAGGAGTACAGAGATCACCTTGCATTTTCTAACACAATAAAATGCATTTTCCATACTTTTCCACAACACAGAGTATTTTAAAGCTGCATTCAGTGCAAATTTAAGTTTTCATTGTATATCCCCCAAATATTGACTAAGAAGATGTATGTTTTAAAAAGTAATCCAAAAAATAAAATTTTGAATGGTTTAACTGAAATTAGGGTTGCATGGAAAAACACAGTCACAAGCAGCCAAACTGTAACTAACAAAATAAAAAGTCTGTAATCATAAGAAGTAGTAAATTATCTGTACACTATAATTTGTGATAATTGATTACAGCTAAAAACATAAACTTGAGCTGAGAACTGACTTAGGCTCTAGATTGTTAAATTACTTTTAGATCTACAAATGACAATAATAGGTAGGCAAACGACGATTTATAACCATAAGGAAAAGTTTTATTCATGGTGGAACATACTATATGTTTTGACAGAACACTGATCTGTCTTCTTCATACCTGAAACATGTAGCATGTTCTACCATCAATAAACCATTTATTTATTTATGCTTATAAATCGCTGTTTGCTTACCTATTATTATACTGGCATAATGTGCTTTCTTACTCAAGTTCGAATGACAATGAAATATACAGAAGCCTTTTTTTTTACAAAATGAAATTTGGATTTTCAACCTGAATAGCATGTGCATATGATCTCAACAATAAGGTCAAAGACTCCCTAGGGAAGAGTTTAAGTATAGACATCATAATTTTGAACTACTGATTAGTGGGAGGGCAACCAGCCAGCAACACTTGCCACCATAAGGACTATGTCTTGCTAATAAAGTTACTAAAACTACAGTGGTTTGTCAAGTAAGTACAGCTATTTTAACAAAAATTGTTTACCTTTTGTGTTAGAATTACTATATTTATTTATAAATCAAACTTTGAACCAAATAACAAAACTGACTGTCACTTTTATAATGCACCAACAGCTGAAAGTGCAGTGTGTTTTCAGTGGCATGATGTCTTGAATCCTGAACCTTTTGATTTACAGCTCAAAACATTAACCACTAGGCCAGTCACTGTTTCATTCAAAATTTAATTACACATCTTTAATATCAATGTACATGAATGAATTTAATATTATAATGTGTGTTATGATTCAAAATTTTATATTATCCAAGTTTTAAGTCCTTTATTTCAAAATAAACATTTAAAAAACTACTTAAAGCTTCAGATGTATTGTCACTTGACAAACGAGCTACGAGAATTCTTTACTTTGACACACTGCATCTTCAGTAATATAACAGCAGTACTGAAGAGGTACCTCTAGACAATAGGATGTTTAGATAACTTTTAGGCTCTTTCATTTCAAAGTTCTCTAAATGAATACACTTAAAACAAATAATAAACTTTTCCAACCCCTGACAGCTGTCATGCCCACCTTTGACAAATTTGTTTGAGTTTTATAGCCTTCATGTAGAGGTTACATACACATGTATATAACCATTAGAAAGAGTTCATTTTACAGTATAGTCTAAAATGGTTATTTTGAAATTGGCAGTAAGATGTCGTCATGGGGTACATGAAATTGACTATAGCACTTACGGTTGTTTCTTACCTAAATATGTTATAGTAAGAGATACAGTTTTAACTGTATTTAGGTCTTATTATTATATTTTAGTTAATTATGTTTTAAAATGCATAATTAAAAGGTTTAAATATTTTTTAAATATACATCATACCTTGCGCCTGCTGTCAATACTTACGATATTATGCACCAAACGAAAATTTTGCTGAAGGATTGCGTTTGTCTCCCAAAGAAACTGTATTATGCCTTATGGGAACCATTGAATTGTTTTGACATGAATAATAAGTGGTAATGGAAAATAAAACATTAAAAATTCACTACATGTGAAAAGGAAAAGACCTGAAATTATGAAAACAAGCAAAACAGTAAAATAACATCTTTAAAGATATTCTATAAAAAATCAAAAGGTATGCATTTTTTATTTCCCAATTTTAATCATTTTATTGCATTGTGTGCTGATGCTAATAGCTAGAGTTAGTGATATGGTAAAGAAAATGAAAAATAAAATATAAAGATTTTGATATCCTTTTAAGAGGTTCTAGAGATTATGCAAATGAAATAAGAAAATATAAGATTAAGAAAAGTATTTTTATACTTAAAATGAAAATCAGTTTGCACTCGATTTGTTAATAGTTTGAATGCAAGTAACTACAACAGAAAAATAACATTTTAAATTTAACATTTAAACACTTAATTACAAAACCGTTATTATTCGTGTACAACATACTTATGATCTTTAACAAAATCCTACCAACTTTTGAGACAATACGTTAATAAATCTCAGAGCTGCTGCAAGTATTTTTGTACAAATGAAAATAAGTGGTTTTCTTTTCCATGGTTTAAGGAACAAACAAAGAATGATATTTTACCCTTTATTGACACTTTCTACTGTGTCATTGTACAGTTCTCTTCATGTAAACGGTTGAGAGAATCCGCTTGTGGGTCCATGTAGAAGTGGTTTGAACAGGGGCCACAGGTTCCCCAACAGGTTTATCTAACTTTGGCAAAGTCTTTTCTGAAGCCAAACAGTTAGGCATTCTTTAACTAACATATGAAGGATGCCCTTTAGCTTAGACCACCTATCTTAATGGACTTATAGACTACATAATTGATTCTATCTTACAACAGTATAGGGCCCTTCACAACATCTACCCATGTTTTTATCACTAGCCAAATCTTTTTCCAGTTCATTAGTCTCTCTGTGTAAGACTCTGCTGAGTGAAGGTCCTTGAGCTGTTAGTACAGAGGGTCCAATGGCACTTTGAGTTCTTTCCTAAACATCAGTGATGCTCATTCTTTGGCTGTAGTTCCAAGTATTGCCATTCAATAATTCTTTAGCTGGGATGAAAGATCTTGATCTCACATTTAATTGGCTAATTTGATTTAAGTGTATGACTGTATTTTTCCACTGACTATATGTCCCAAGAAACACACCTGTTTGTGGAACAATTTACACTCCTTGGGATTCAGTTTAAGGTTTTTTTTCCTGAAATAATCAGGTACTTTTCTTAATCCGTCAAAAGCATCATTAAAGGTTTTCTCATGTATGATTATGTCATTCAAATTATGAGTATAATATTCCAGGGTAGTCCAGAAAGATCACATTTCATTAGTTTTTCAAATGTAGAAAGGTTTATTATACAATCCACAAAGTAGTGCAAAAATCCATTTACTGGCTTGCTTTATTGACTTGCACTTGTCAGTATCCAATCTACAAATCCAATGTTATAAACTATTTTGATCAAGAGAAAGCATCTAAAGTACAGTCAAGCCTTCTTTGTGATTTCATTCACCTTCTGGTATTCCACACAGAATCTTGTGTATCCATTTTTCTTATTCACAAGTACAATGCTACGAAAAAGGACATGTTCTCAGTTCTTTTACTCCTTAAGCTTTCATGTCTACTATTTCTTTAAATGCCTTACCCTGTTTTCTGTTGCTTGGTTAACTGATGTGTGTTGGTGCTGCATCTTTATATCATCCTTACGAGATATTTTATGTGACTGACCAAGTCATGAGGTTCACTCGAGAAGGTATCTTGGTATCCTATGAACAAGTCTAAATATATTTCATGAATCCATAGACTTTCTTTTGTTCTTAAAGTTTTTTCATTTGATGCACTTCCCAATATACTGAGATTGTTGGCAGTAGGAATAAAGTCACAGTCTTGTAAACACTGGGGAAAAATGGCTGACAGATTATGTGGGGTATTTTGCACATGCTATTTAATTCTTAAATGCAAACAACAAGTCATGCAATTTATGACACTAATCAATTTTATGAACTCCACAGCTCTATTCATACATCTGTAAATGAAATGGTAAGCTCCATTTATGTGAAGATTTAACCTCATACTTCCTAAGGTGATTAATTTTGATATTTAGCAATGTTTAAATGCTACTTCCACAGCTTCACATTTTGTTATGTTCCATCCAGAATTTACAACAATTTCATGGTTTGTTGTATTCATGACCCTAATGATTACATCATTATTCTTTATGTCCATAGGAGTTCTTCCAACAAATAATACCTCAGGAAAAGACCAGTGTGTTCAATTCTACTAGGTCTCACTCACTAGATCCACAGTTGTTCTTAGTTTCACCTCATATCTATGTTTCTGCCTGAAGTCTATCCAATTATGCAACCTTCCTTGGTAGCAATTACCCACAAATCATGTTGTGTAAAAGTAAAGCAAACTTCAGCCCACTTACTGAAAAGCAATATATTTCTTCTACCACAAATTCTCTGAGTAACAGGCCTAGCTTGACAAATAATAACAGTCACTTACTTACTAATTTCTAATATATTTCCGGTACGTTACTGAAATATAAACTCAAAATCTATAAAACTGTATTAACTGACCATGAACACCCTTTTCTACTTGATGGTTTTGTATCTTTCAAACTGTTTCCAAAATAACTCAAAAATTTCAGATGATATGCTCATTATGTCACATCAAAACTCTCTCTCTCTCTAGTGAACAGCACAAGTCTAAATTAAAATATAAAAAACACAGCCTACAACAATACATTTGGCACTTTGAGAAGAATTGAGATAATTTACATTTCAGACAAATGATAGTAAACTATAGTAATGCAACTGACACACTAATGAAATAAATGTTTAGCCCTGTTTTAGAAGCACTTTAAACTCTACTCCTACAATATACTCTTCTTTCACAGAGGAAGGACTTATAACTATGGTAAAAGAAGAATTAATTTGATTTTAAGTTCACAAGCTCACACACTAATGCAAGCAAGGATGATGTTATTTGTTGTAGAGGTACAATTACCTGAATTATAGCATATTAACTCTCTCAACACAGGTGTAGTTAATTTGACTGATCATGTGACCTCTTTGTACTCATTTAAAGTCTTTGTAGATTTACTACTTCTAACTTTCAATATAGTGTGAATATCTTCACAAAATTTAGTCTTTCAGTTCATATTATAAGTCTTTCACATACAAAAAAAAACATATTTTTTAGTGAAGTATTTTTGATAAAATAAAATAAAGATTTGTCCATTAATATATTAAGTATTTGTTTTGAATAATCCATATACAAAATAATTTTCACATTAAAATGAAAAATTCTTTTCCTGATCTCAAATTT